TAAAGGAATATCTTATCTTAATGCTATGAACTGAAAAGGTGCAGGGTAGAATTAGAATTATAAAAGGGACATACAGACATAGGGAGGGGTCACACTTCCTAGGGGTCCACTGTAAACCCACACATGGATATTTGTGTGATAATAGTCATCATAGTAGTGATATCACTGTACTTGCATGTTGTTGCTTTGGCTCAGGGGCCTCCTAGTGGTCAACCCATCCATAATCAGACAGATCTTGACCCTTTCATGTCATACATGAAGCCTCGATGAATTAAATGAATTTGTGACGGCTAGATAAATGGGTAAGACTATGAAACATATTGCTTTTAATAAAAAACGAATTCCCTAAAATCACTGACAGTAAATAAAAACAGGTGATAGCCTATATTTTAATATGCTATTAACTCGACGTACTTTTTGTCTGTTTATTTAGGAGCGGCAGTAGATTCATGAACACCACAGCACCGATGAGTTATAAATCATTTATAATCATAAGTTAAAAAGTATTTTTTTTAAACCATATAATACGTTTGTAGTCAGGCGCCACACGGTCAGCCTCACCAAACAGAAACATTTGGGGTCCTTTTACTTCACGTGTGCGTCTGCTGCTCTGCCATCGTGAGGAAACCATGCCGAAGTCAAAGAGGGACAAGAAAGGTAAGAAAATATACCTTCAAACTGTATCAAACACAAAACCATAAAGCGGTTTAAGTGTATTCAATGGTTGCTCATATGTAACCGTTGTTAGCGACAACGGGAGAGTAACGTAATGAGGTAACAAGCCAACGTAAGCTTCGTCCTCAGCAGTTAACATACACTGTAACACTGACTGTCAGCTCAACTCTAACTTACTGACTCATTTCACTCCATTTTCCACCAGTTTCGTTAACGAAGACAGCCAAGAAGGGACTGGAGTTGAAACAGAAGTTAATCGAGGAGGTGAGTGCTTTCTGCTCTGGCTACATGTTCACTTAAGGTTATCTGAAGCTGTTTACATGTTTCACACCTGTTTTTGTCCTTTCAGTTACGGAAATGTGTGGACACCTACAGACATGTGTTCATATTCTCTGTGGCCAATATGAGGAATAACAAACTGAAAGACATCAGGACAGCATGGAAACACAGCAGGTACAGACCATTTCTTTAAAGGGGCATTACACAGGTTTTACACATGGAGGGTAATTCATTCTTCATTAGGAGTACTAGTCAAGGTTTAAGTCTGAGATTACCCGAGTAAAGTCTGGGTTATCTTTGAGACTACATATTTCTAAAAGATGACTCATGTTAATAACTGGGGGGCATGGCGTTGGAGACATGGACATTTACCAGTGAGGTCTAATGAAAGATGCTACCAAGTTGCACTAAGGGACTAAAAGTCAGGATATTTCAGCATCTCCTACATTCTTGTTTTAAAAATCTGCCTCTCGCTAATCCCCCAGTTTTATGAAAGTTCAACACTAAACACTGAGGCAGTCCTTTTAACAAATTTCTCAGTCAACAATTTTAACTGGTCTCTTCTCTGTTCCACAGATTCTTCTTTGGCAAAAATAAAGTCATGATGGTTGCCTTGGGTAAAGGTGCAACAGACGAATACAAAGATAATTTGCACAAGGTAGGCACTCAGGTGTGGTGTTCAGCCAGAAAATACCCTAATACATTGCAGAGCCTTGATATTTTTATATCTTTCGATAATGTGCAGGTCACCAAGTATCTACGAGGAGAAGTGGGAGTGCTATTCACAAATAAAACCAAGGATGAGGTACAAGAGTAAGTAAAGCTTCACTTAATGCACCATTGTTGCAGTGATTCTCCAAATATTGTTCATCGGTTGTTAAAATGGTGTTCTCTACCCACAGGTATTTCAGTCATTTCAAAGAGATGGATTTTGCGCGGGCAGGCAACCAGGCACAGATGGACATAACTCTGGATGAGGGACCCCTGGAGCAGTTTCCTCACTCAATGGAGCCCCAGTTGAGGCAATTGGGACTTCCCACTGCTCTCAAGAAAGGTAAGATTACAGAATAATGCAAAAGACCAAAACCAACAATGCTGCAGTACTCCACTCAGCTCCATTGGTTCTTACTGAATATCTAAAATACAGACAATAGTTGAGAGTAGAATGAGCTTTATCCTTTAAACATGTTTGTGCGACACCATGATAGTCACATCTGGTATCGTCTGCTCTGAAAGGTGTGGTGACACTGCTGAAGGACCATGAAGTCTGTAAGGAGGGAGACGTGCTAACTCCAGAACAGGCTCGTATTCTGGTGAGTGCTTGACTGTTTCATTACAGAACATGTTAAACGTGACATATTGTGCTGAGCTGCATTTGACTTGACTCTTAAAATTGGCTCTTTTTTTTTGTCCGTAGAAACTCTTTGGCATTGAAATGGCAGAATTCAAGGTGCAGATCAAATGTATGTGGAACTCAGAAACAGGCGAGTTCGAGAACTGCGCAGGCGAGGAAGAGCCTATGCAGGATAACGAAGAGGAGGAAGACGACGACGTGGAATGAAACATCTGCAAGGGCAAGAGCTTGCACACCTTCTTTTTTTTTTGGCCAACCTTCAGCAGCATAGAGGGACATTGATGTTGAAAGCATTCATCCTGACTGCCAGTGCTGCCCCTGGTGTCTGTGTAATCACGCTCCCCTTTTCACCCTAAAACACGAACTTCTGTCCTTCACCTTGAATTTTAGCTTCGGACTGAATTGTTGTTCAGTAAACACCAGTAACTGGAGTCAAAGGACTTTCTTGCAGGCCATCATGGTGATCAGCTTGTTTTGTCACAAGATTTGTCAGTATAATCACGATTACGAAACGTTTTTGTATTGCGTATGTATCAGCCAAAACAAAATGAATGTGTTGAACCAACTCATTTGATGCATTTTATGTGTAAGAAAAACATTTTGATGATTTGGGCAAATTAGTTTTCTTTTTAATGTAACAGTATAATTAAGGCAGAGTCCTTATGACTTTTTCCCCTGAAAAAATATTTTCTTTTCTTTTTTACATTTATACATTAACAACGTGTTAATACTAATGGTCTGTAATTGGTCTGTTTGTAAGGGAAAATAAACAATTTTCAAGTGTGATTTCAGGAAGAATGTGCAAGCAAGTAAC